TTTTTTCCAGCATCCTCTTTAATTCCCTCATCAGCCTAATAGCTTAGTTTTCACCTGTCCACATTTTTCCCCAGTGGGAGAAGAAACACTTGTGTGAAAAAAATCCATTCTTGTTCACGAAAATGCTGAAGCAAAACACTGAAACAGTCTTGGCACTGCTCCATAATCCAAATCTATATTTAGCAAAGTGAAATCCTATTTACGGATTCAAACATGTATAGTACCAAGCAAACTAAAGTGTCAATTACATCTCCAGTGTCATTATCTCAGTGACAGAACAATATAAAACCCAATAACAGCTTCTCATTGATCAGATAATCAAACATGTTTCTAGGAGTTTGCTTACCATAAACAAACTACAATATGGCCAAATCCTTAAATATTTTCTTTGTTAATACTTCTTTATTACTGTATGTCTACAGTTTTACAGATTAAAGTAATACTTCAGTCTTGTCCTAAAGAAGCAGATTACATGGTTGTAGCTGATTATTATCTCATAAAATTATGAGCATTCATCTTAGGCCGGCTGTCAGGCGGTCATTGGCATTTCCATCTCCACCCTATATATTCAGAGATCAAAAGAACATCCAGAGATGTTGTTATTGGGAATACTTTTAATCATTTTTCCACCAGAGCACAAAGAGAAGCAATGGGACCCAAAAAGTCACAGCACTCAATCATCTTTCAGCCCTGGTTAGAATCAATAAGCAGCTGTGAATGGCCACTGTTCTGACATTACAGACTAAAAGAAAAATAAGAAAGGCGGGGGGGAAAGGAGAGAAAGAAAACATTAATCACTGTAAATCAATAGAATAATGAAATCTTCTTGCATTGGAAATAACAAGAAGAGCACTTCATTTAATCATAATTTCCCACAGTCCATACCCACTTTCTACCCAAAGTTATGCACACACATAGAGAGAAAGATCAGCTGTGCTCACCAGCACCACACATTCATTCTTTTTTTTTTTTTTTTTAATGGATATTTTTTCTCTTCCCTCAAGGGTATTTTCAAAGACAAACCCAAGGCATGTTAGGAGACACCCAGTTCTCACCATTAAGTCATTTGTTTCCCATACTAAAAAGTTTTAACATGTTTTTCACCTAATAAAACCTGGATTCTAACAGTAACCAGCTCTGCACAGATGATCAGATGTTTTAGAAAACTGAGTGAGGGTCTAGCATTTTGTCCCCGAAGGAGAACAAAGAGAAAAGGGAAATCAGAGCAAGGACTAAATGTTTCACCATCCTTGTAGTCAGCATTAGTGGTATTGACCAGCAAAAAGATCACAGACACCTATTCCCTGCCTGTTCCAATTACAGGAGCATCAAAAAGAACTTAGAGAGCAAAAAGAAAGTTCCACAGCCCAAAACACCAACATAATTTTCTTCTTTCAATACCATTTTCTTGGTGCTTTCAAAGGCTTTTAAGGTGCAGGAATTCCATGCCAGTGTGTGTTGTGAGAGAAGGACACTGTTTTTTTTGCCACATGAAAGAATCCTTGTTTAAGTGATCTACTCACAGGGTAGAACTGGGATGCAGGAGCTTGTTTTGTCTGGTTCAGGCTTTTGCTGCTTGGTAAAATCCACTTCACCATTAAGTCAAAATTTCTTTTTAGCCAAAAGTCTTTTGAAAAAAAAGTTATCAATGTTCTCTGCTGCTTTTTGATTACAAATGAGATCAAGTATCAAGGCTGTTGAAAACTGAAAAAGAAAAAAACCAAAACTTCAACCTATTTTTTTAATTGGTACCATTTAATTTCTAGCCAGCCCAATGAACAGAGGCTTCTCCAGGGAGCCTAAAAAGTAAAAAGTTGGAAGTTCTGAACCATCCTCACCAACATGGCAATGATACTGCAAGCACCAGCACTTCCCACTACAGTGCTGAAGTGGCCAGGTTGATCTGTTTATGTCAGTTTCCGCTTGTTTGCAATAAAATCATATTAAATCAGAATGATGGCCCACTACACTCTTCTTCTTGAGGGGTTTACCAAATTCTTACAAAGATGAGGAGCCTCCTAAACATCTGGCACCATGAGGCCTTCAGCTCCCCAGCCATGCCATAATTTGTACAATTTAAGCATTACTGTGCAGGTCAAACAACATGCACAGCCTCAATTTAGAAGTATTCAATAGGCTGAAAGACATTCAATGGCACTTTCCCTTGGGATGCATCACACCTGTGCTGGGGAAAAAAGAATATCAGTCACAAATGGGATTACGAGATAAATTTTCATATACCATCAAATATAGGCTTTCTTCTGCTGCATTGGAATCCTTTGTTTTTCACCAAATGACAGATATCTGTCCTTATTAAATCATATCTAGGATGTTCTTTGAATATCTGAACTGATTCTCACCATCAAAGCCTGACAAAGCTGTGAGAAGCAAACTGATGAACTCTGATACCTCCAACAGGCAGTAGGTTTAAGTGAACTTTATCAGGAGGAGGCAATATTTCCAACTTGTTTTGGATGTTTTCTAGCAGCTTCCAAATCTGAGAACCACATAAACTCATTTTTACATGATTTGTTAAAAAAAAAAACCCACCAGCATTCACTCAGAAGCACAGTCATTCATCGATCCCATGTTTTCATCACAGTGCTCCAAGATGATTCCAATGCAAATATTGAAGCCTGCTCTAACCCACAGTTTCAATTCACCAGGCCTCATAACCTTTTCTGAAAAGGTTGCTTCATTCTTTCTTAGGTCAATAATTCCCCAACTTCTCCACAGAGTCATTTTTACATTACAAAAAAGTTCTGCTATGCACTTAGACTGCAATTCTGTCTCGTTTTCTCTGTCACAATCAAGTAACCAAAGGCACAATCCTTTCCTAGTTCAGTGAGTCAACCTACCTGAGGCCTGCTCATCATCAATCTGCCATAGAAATATCTTCCTTGAAGTAGGTTTACAGAACAATAATCAAAACAGAGCATGACAAAAACAACCTTGCTTGATATATATCAGCAAAAAAATATCAGAAATCCATTTTTTCTATACCTACACACAGCCCCCCGAATTTAGTTATTTCACTCCAGAATTAATTAAAAGCATGCTTACCTTGAACAATAACACAATTTATTTTAAAAACGCTGGAAACAGCAAGCTAGATACTACACTTAACAAATCTTGTCATTTTTTCTATCTTCAATCTTTTCTCCATCATGAGAAGCACCATTTATGGACAGTAAGGTCCTGGATAAACAACATCTCAAATGACCAAAAGTTGCCCTGGAGAATTGCCAGCTGAAACTCTCCACAATATTTATTATATTTCATTATGTGCTGGCTGCTGAGATCACATGGCTTTATCTCAGCTTCCACAGGGGCTTTATCTATTCCCCAGGTCTGTACAGAAGAGCTTGAGATGATAAATTATGTCATTTAATCCTACAGAGAAAGAGGAGATACTCAGTCAAGACTAAAAATATATTTTGAGTATCAGTATAGCACTTCACTTTCCCCACTTGTTTGCACCACACACCACCCAGTTCATCACAAGCTCTGTCACAACATTGCATCGCAAAAATGCCTTTAGCTCCAGCCTTCTACCTATTACAATCAGGAAGGATTTTCACTCGCAACTGTGTTAGACAAATTATCCCAAAACCAAGGTTTGTACATTTGTATTCAGAATCACTTGAACAAAGTAATCTGTAACACCTCAACCAATGAAGAACTAAAGTCATGATCTGGAATTCTTGCTTCAAAATAAAATTAGGAACTGTTGTAGTGTATACTGCCAAATTATCTTCCAGAGGATTTCCTAGCTAAAATTCCCCTGCCACACTGTCCATTCAGGGAATCCCAGGTGTGAAACATCAGCCTCACTGCTGTGTTAATACCTTGGGATTCTCCTGGACAAAACAAGGATGTGCAGTATACCTGGTTTAGGGAAAGAGAGAAGAATGTCCATATTGCCCAGGAAGGGTAGGGCGGAAACAAAAAAGAACAAAACAAAACAAAACAAAACAAAACAAAAAAAAAAAACCAAAAAAAAAAAAAAAAGGGTTGTTGCTGTGCTGAAAGCCAGGATTCAATCCACGGAAACAAAGAGTTAAAGAATTTTAAGGATGATGTGGTTACAATGCTTTCAGAGTACCTGATTTTTTTTCTTGAACAAAACAACCATGTATTTGGCACCGCACAGCTTGTAACAGAAAACAAAAACACACCCATAGGATTTATGCTTTCTACAACCATACCCCAAAGATGCATTTCTAGTTGACCAAAAGAAGGCCAGTTCAGAAGGGTATGCTATTTATAAGGCACTCAGCTACAAAATGCTAAATAAACTTCACTGCATAAAATTCTCACTAAATACTCTTTTCTTGACTTCATCATCAGCAACTGGGAAGTTTATGCATCTAATACAGATACATGTGGACCTCTAGCTTATTTGCTAAAACATCCAGAAAAGTAAGTAGTTATTAAATATATTTTATAGATAAAATCTGTGAATTAATATCAAAATCATCCATAGCTTATCAAAAGGATTTAATCAGAGAGAAGGTGCTTTTTCAAAAAAAAAAAATCATAGGCTAAAAAAACCTGGAAAAGAAAATACTTGGAAGCAGCCTTCACAGGCAGGATCAAGGCAAATGGCAATAATTTCCAATCAATCAGTTTACGTGCAAGTTAGAAAAATGAAAGAAAAAGGTCCAGTGGGCACATGTGAAGTCTTTTATGATGTCCCCCTGCTGGCTTTAGGATTTCACTTACACTGACAGATGAACACATCTAGAAAAGACAAGACAAAAAAATTTCATGCCTAAAGTTTGCTTCCATATGAAGGAACATGGCTATTATAAGATGTATCCCTGCAATTCAGCACAACTAATGACAATCCCACCCTCAATTTCCTATATATTCCTTATATTTTCTCTTTCATCACAAATACATAAAACCAAACATAGGTAAATCATTGTGGGTCATCTTTCTTTCACTGTTATTGTTTTCTTTTGTCTTTATTATTTACCCATGATTTACAACAAAAATGTGTTATTTCTCTTTATTTAAATGCAGAACACCAAAGTCATGCAGAATTGACAGCAGTGAAAAATGGGGCTTAGCACACAAAATTCCTTTCTGAAAGAGAACCTCAGAGCATCTTTCCCAAACTCCCAGACTTCTGCAGAGAATACAAACTATCTGCAACTTTTCTTATCAAGCTTTAAGTTTTATTGCATCTGCTCCAAGAATTTTAACAGGTAAAAAATTGACAGCACGTAACATAACTTGAGCAGATATCTAATATTCTGAATTCATGGGGGAACTAATTCTGAAGACTATTTAATTCCTTGTTCTTGGAAAATTCCCACTGAAGTCAATGAGACTGTGTGGGGTGAATTCAGAAACTATAATGTAAAATGCTACAATAGCAGCCAGCCCCCAAAAGAAAAGAACTTGGGTAGAACCGTGCTTGCAACAGACGCTGAACTTATCAAAATCCTCACATGGCTTCAATATTTCACTTTAATTAGAAATGAATCAAGTTTCAAAATGGTTCTTGAAGTGTAACAAATTTTTAAGCAATACTGGGTTTATTTCCACAAGCAACCTCCAAAGCCAATGTGCAGATTTTCCCAGAAAATAATTCTGAGAGAACGGATGGGTTCTGCTTCCTTCAGTTGTTTTGAACAAGCTGTACTTTGTGAGGACAGATCAAAGGAAACAGAATGAGGAAATTAGCACCTGCCATATTCTGTCTGCAGGGTTACACCCAGACAAGCATCCCAAGGGCACTGCCAGGTGCTTCAGCGAAGAGCAAAGAGAGCAGCTGCTCAGTGACATTTGCAGATCCTGGCTCTGGTGGCTTCTGCTTCTTTTGATGGCACTGTAACTCCTTAGAGCAGTACAATGTGAGCATGGCACAAACCCTCCCCATGACCCAATAGGCCATTGTCCCTTCAGAAACCTTGCAGGATAACTGGGAATAGCTTGTTCAAGGAATATTTCACATAAGGTCCAGGTGATTTAGGGAGTTGGTTTGCATGGGAAGCATGCAAATGTTTATTCTTCTGGCAATGCCTCCCCTATTGGAGTATTTAGTTAGAGCAGGCCTGTTTACATCACCACATTACAACCTGTAAAAAAGGTATTTCTTGGAGTTTGTTGCTTGGTTATTGGTGGGGGCTATTTGGAGCATTCTGGTAGATGTCTCTCTCATGAAAAAAGGGAAATAAGGATCATTCTTTTGAGAAAATATTTCAGTAGGCAGGGCCAGTTCATCAGGCTTTCTGAACCAGCTCTACAGGGCTGCACTGATTGGCGCCCTGGGGAACATCCTACCTTGACTCCTGCTGGTTTCCTCACAGATAGGATCTTGTCACCCACCTTATTCCTCAGGCACATTTTGTCACATCCCCTGCATTTCTCTCCATGAAAAAGAAACAGTAGTTATTTTGTTCAGCCTCAAAGTTACAGTAAAAGCCCAGGGCAGAACGTTTTGCTCCATTTCTCTATTCATCAGTGTGAATAATTACTACTGAACCTGCAATGAAATAGAAGAGTAAAACATCAGCCTCACTTCTCAGCTTACTCAAACATCCTCTGGAATATCAGATCCTCCAGGCTTATGTGTTCTAAATGCATTAATATCAGCTATGATGCTGCAAAATCCAACCATTCAATCAAAAGACAATAATTAAAACTCAGAAAGACTGAGTACAACTTTTTGCATGGACTGAGCATAGAAAAGCTAAACATATTCCCATGAATCAAGAGCTTGTGGTATACATGAACTGTAGCAATTCTTCAACCCTAAAAAGATAATTGGCACAGGGAAAAAAGTGGTTTTTCAGTCTGGATGTATGATAGCGTAAAAGAGTTAATACTGGAACTCCTAAGAAGCTCTTTGTAAAACTGAGAAAAGTCACAACTTCTTTAAAATCTGTGAAAAAAAAAATCCCTTCTTTTGCTTCTGCAGCATTACTACGCTTCAGCAGGCACCAAAAACTTGAAAGTACTGGAATTGGATCAACAGCACATTTCTTTCAGGAAGCTTTGGTTTTTTTGTATCCAAAAAATTGATCTTTTTTTCTTAATGAAACACTGCTTGAAACAAAGCATTCCTCTCCCTGAGACTCAGCATGTCAGGTTTAGTGACACACGAAGTTTGTTTGCCACATTAAAAAAATCTAGATATGAATGAAAAGGAAGATGAACACAATTCCCATCTCACCTCTTGTTTAATCCCCCAAACCTTGGAAGAGAGCTTTGACATCTACATTCACATACTCAAGAAAGGGTTATTTTTTCTAAGCCAAACTATGAAAGAGCCACCATGTGATTTCACTTACGTTTGGCTACAAAGATTCCACATTTTCTTTGCTTTGAGGGTTTTGCCAAACAGAAGAGTTCAGATATATCCAGCCCTCATTAGAGAGAACATATTTTCATTGGACCTGCCACATCTAAACAGACATGAACCATGGGACATCCCCCAGTAAGAGCAGAATCAAGGCTCCAGCAAGCTGTGATTTTTCGAAAAATGTAGCTGGCAAAAGCTGTGAAGTATTTCCACCACAGAACAGCATACAAAGTACAGAAGTAACAAATTATAGTCTAAAAGTTTGTACCATTAATCAGGCTTTGCAATCACTCACTCCACCAGGTGGTTATACTGCAGCATCATAAATGAAGTCAGAAAATTTTAAATTCCCAGGGTGGAAATATCCAGCACATGCTCTTTGTGATTATTTGGCTTTGCTGTTACATATCTCAAGGAAGCATCAATCAGGATAGCCATAAACTTCTGAAAAGTTGCAGTCTAAGCACAGTTTTTATAAAGACTTAACTCCAAATATTAAGTGGAAAAAGAAAACCAAACCTCACCACTGACCACTAACATACATTTTAAGTTCTCATTAACTGCCATTGATTGGGAATGAAGAAAAGCAAATTTACCCATTTTAGGAACAATGTCTTCTAAAATAGAAAGGAATAAGATGGAAAGAGGAATAGATCTGACATGAGTCAACAGGAAAGGAATTCACACTGGGCAGGTTCAGAAACTCTCTCACCTTACAGCAGCCTTCTCTTCCATTTGCTTCCAGCTATTTCAGATCACCTGCAAATTTTATGCCATAAAACTTTTTTTAAAAGCAGCTTATGTAAAAGGTCTCTTACAGATTTTTTACACTTTCTTCTCCCAGACCAGCTGATTCATTTGCCTGGTTTTTTCAAGGTGATCTTTAAAAGGCTGGACTGACAAACCAGTCTATCAAACAAATGCTAACTTTTGTTTAATGATTTTGCCACAATCAAAGTCCAGAAGTCCCAGGCATTTCCAAGGTCCAAAGTCAGTTTGGTCTCATGAAGAAAGTATGAGAGAGTTGATGTTTCTTAATAACCTCAAACTGTCCATGGAACTTAGCAATTTTGGATCTACTGATTATTCACTGGTTGGTTGGTGTTTTTTTCTCTTTTTGCCTGTTGCTGTTTTGCTTGTTAATAAACTGTTATTTTTTCACTTATATCTACTCATATTTCATTTCTCCATTTTGGTGGAAAGGGATTGGTTGAAACTAAGGGAGGTAACTCATATTAGAGTGTCCACCTCTTAAATTGTCTTAAATCAAGACACAGAGTTAAAGCTGCAGGGTGAGAGGTTCAACCTTCCATGCTATTGTTACAAGGCTAAGAGAAGCTGACTCAAATTTCTCCTGGGACTCTGTGGTTAAAATCTCCTCACATAGCCAAGAGCTGATTTTTCTTTCTGCAAGCTTTATCCATCCATCCACTGAGTTTTCCACTAAACCAGAAGGAAAGCTCTGAAGGGTGAAATGGGTTCTCTATTCTACAGCTGCTTTGTGGGTGCTTCTCCATCTTTTCACTCAGTGTGCAGAAACCAGAAGGAGAGCTTCAGATTGCCATCTGTAAATAACCTCATCTGTGTCTCTCAAGAGTGCATTTTTCTGTAGAGAAGAACAAAAAACATGTCTGGTGTCAGAAAATACTTTCATAATTGGTGCAAGATTTTCCAGTACTAGTTTATCATGTCAGTGGTAGTGATTCCCAGCTCAGAAAAGAAGCAATTATCAAGAACCCAGTGACCCAGATAGAAGACTTTGGATTACATGTAAAATCCTCTCATATCTTGCCATCTACTTTGAGATAGGAGAATTAAGCATAAAACTGACTTGCATGAGAGAAAATAATTCAGAGTACACAGACTCAAGCACGCAACTCCTCTCAGATAATTGAGATACTCCTAAATAGGAAGCATATGTGTGAGGAATCCTCCTACGTACTTGTGGCCTAGAGACCTTTCAAGACAACCATTCTTGCATACTTATTTTTCTCCAAAGTTACTTATCACTGGATAATTCCAAAAAGCAGTGAACCTCTTAATGTAGAGCTGTTTTTGTCATTTAACAATCCAGACTACTCCACTGATATTTTGGCATAACTGACATAGTGAAACCGTAGGGGTTTGGAATGTTTTATTTCAGATTCTACGCAGTTGGTGCTTCTTTGAATTTCCGCACTATTTGCAAAGAAAAAAAATGTATTATAATGTTAATCTGAAAATAGAGATGTAATAAAAATACTGCTTTATGAAATAAATTTTTTTTTAACAAGGCAGAGAACACTTGAAATACTGGATGGAGCCCATTACCTCAGCTTTACATCAGAAAAGATTAAACCTGGCCTATGTTTATGAAGCTGTCTTTAAGGAAGTGGCTGAAGAAAGCAACGGAGCCATCACAGATGTGGTTTGTACAGAGCAATAACAAGACATTCATGTTCCTTTTATTTCTCCCAGTAAGATATATTTAGGTTTAAATATAAGACATGAATCCACTGTGTATATGGGAGAATGGAACGTGAAAGTGTTAAACAAAGCAGAAAGCTCATGTGAGAGATTAAACTCCTACTCCTTACAATTGAAACACACATGGATCTTCCAGACTTCCAGATTTGCTGAAGAGAGAACCTGGAAATTTCACACATTCCTGAACATTTCACAAGAGGGCAGAAATACCACCGAGAATACCCAAACTGAAAGATAAATCATCTTGAGAGTTAACTGTTATGCTCATCCCATGTTATGTAGCTATGGCTGGAAGTGCTTGAAATCCCTTTGGAAATAATGCCAGCATTCAAATAATTCTTTCCATCATCTGAGTTTCCCTACAGGCCTCAATCAGATTGTTCCATCAATAAAATACTGTACCTGAAACATTGCTCTGTCTCTTTGCAACTAAGCCTGAACAAATATTTATGCAGCAGCTTACATTTTTAGCTGGTAAAATAATTCCACAAATAAACCACATAAAAAGCGACTCAGCTTTTAAAATCTATGTTTTATGTAAGAAATTATCTTCACTCCTAAAAGACTACAGCTGTCATAAGATTTGCTTCTATTATGAGGGAAGTTTCTGTGTTGGGAGAGTATCGTGCACACATAAATCACCCTAAAAGCACTTGGGTGCCTTTGCAACAGCAAACCCAGCAGTTTCAATGGGATTATTTTAAAAGTATCTATATAGAAATTAATTTAAATCCAGAATTGTCTGCATTCTTAATCATATATCAGCAAGTATGTCACTGCTGTCCTATGATTAAAACTCCGAGCATGAAAAGGCTGTGAATATTTAAATGATGAGATCAAAGCACCTACTTTATTATTAGAACCTAAACCATCAATTCACTTTCTCAAAAAGTGATCAAATGCGATATAAGTGTCCTGATATAAAAACAAGGAAGCATATTAAATATAGCAGCTACAGCAAAACTTCTGCAGCAAAACTCTTGAGTAACCAGTAAAGAAATGCCAAGTGTCCCTTATACAGGTTTATGTGATCACTGAAAGGGACACTGACACTAAATTTATTTAGTAATAAAATCAGTGTAGCAGGGGAATGAAATCTCACAGCCAGATGGGAGCAATGCTGGATTTCCTTTATTTCTAAACAATAATAAAATGGACAGGCACAAGAATTGTCAAGGAATATTAGCAGTTGGCCAGTACCTGAGAGTTCAGTTTTTGGCTTCCAAGTATGTTTCATCAGCCTTGTCACCTGTGAAATAATAATTAATCATCATCATTATCATCATCATCATCCTCCTCCTCACTTGCAGATCATGATTCAGATTTTTTTATCCTTCATGAGCCCAGAGGAGCTTCTGGAATAAATTATTTTGTCCAAATTCACAAGGGTAAGAAGCTGGTTTGGGCTTGAGAGACACTAAAATTTTCCATTTAGTTCTGTCAAAATCTAACAGCAAAATTCACATTGAGAGAATGAATAACCTACCTGGACAAGCTTGAATAAGGAGGAAGTTGAAACAAAACCCAATTTATTGTGTCAAATTCCCTTTATGCTTTTGGTGTCTGTTAATTACAGAAAATATTACAAACACCAACTTGTGTCCCTTAGACAAGTATTTACCTTGTTCTTTATTCCAAAATGAAATTAGGATGTAGGGTAGGACTTTCAGTAGGAATTTACTCTTTCTCCCAAAATCAGCTGTACCCCCTCAAAAGTTTTGATCACAATGACTTCCCAGCAGAGAGTATAAAAAGAAATTCCCACAAGCTCTGACACCCAAGGCTAAATGCTTTGGAACAGCTCTTGAAATTGCTTTGGAATGAACAACTGCTGGAATTCTATCAATTCTACCCCAACTGCGTGTATTGCCTCATTTGCAGGCTGGACAATATCTAATCCTGAGGAAAGACACAAATCCATTCCATTCTGGAGCTCAGACCAACCCCCAAGTGTCCTGGGCTTGAACTAACAGCTGCAGTATGGCCAAATGTAGATTGTGGTGCTTTAAAAGCAGCTAATAGCTCCAGAAGATTTATTGGCACAGTCAAGGTTTATTGCAGGATAATATTTAAAATGTGGTGCAAAATAATTTTTTTTTCTATATGACATTCAAGGTAGTAAAAGCATTAATCCACAATAGACACAGAAGTAATTCCTATGCTTATAGGCATTACAGAGCTTATAATTGAGAAGAATTTTAAGGTTATTTTTTATTTCCTACTCACAAATACTGCACCGTGTTATTGATATTCAAAGGAATAAAATAATAATTTCCAATTATCAGTTCATCATGGTGAACATATAACATTATTTACTTTTTAATTAAGGAGTCATTTCCAAGGCTAAAATAGTTCATTTTTAATCAAGAAGAACATTATAAACTTTTTCCTATAAACTCTGAACTCTTGAAGAGTTTAATGAGCTACAAGGCTGACATTTCCACCACTAAATTTTAACTGAAAACATAAAATATGAAGGTTTATTTTATTTAGTGGTGCATCTGACATGATACTCTTTGCCAGTGTTGGTTTTGGATATAATATGGATCAGGGTTTATAACGAGCAGGAAAGGCAATGCAGGCTGAACCAAGTATGGGACGGAAGTAAGAGAAGCTGGAGGAAAAGCAAACTCATTTAAGTCAAATCACAATTCTTGGTCAAGACTAGCAGCACAAAATTCCCTCTCCCACTTGTAAAATACGGTTCTTAAAGGTAAATAGAGGGTTTGCAGGTACCTGGCAAATTAAAAACAAACAATTTTACAATTTGGAGAGCAGCTTCATGTGGGGCATTCCTTATTCAATCACCTGGAGACAACTTCACACAGAGGAAAAGGCAGATTCTGCTTCAAATTAACACCAATCTGTAAGCAGAGTTTGCCTTTCTCTCTGCCACTTACAGACATTTGAAAAAAAAATACAGATTAAACCAGAAGAAAACATCAAATAGGGGTGAATAAAACCACTCACTAACAGCTGTGTGTTGTGAAACTAGAAAAGATCCTCAGCCACAGATGTCCTGAGGCAGCAGAACAGGAGAAGTGGGGTTGAAATGATGCTGAACAGGGGGTGAGCACCGAGGTAGGAAAGTTAAATGGAGTTTAAGAAGATAAAAATATCTGTGTGCTTTTACTTGAGCACAGCCCTTCCCGCTGAGTCTGAGGAGAAGAGCAGAAGCCTTTCTCCAATAATTATGTGGACATTTAGGTGCAGGCAGGGCAAAGCAGGGTGCCAGACCTGTCAGCAAGGGGGGACACCCAGCCAGGATCTCCACAGCACCAAGAAGGGCAGTACCCACCAGCATCAGAGCTCCCTTTGTTTCACTTCCAGAGTTTCCACAATTAGATTGGTTCCTTTAGGTAATTGAGAAGTGACTCAGCAAGACTAACAACCAGAACTGCACATCAAAACAGTGGGGGGAGAAAAAGATATGGGAGTGAAAGATTGACAGGTATTGATTTTGCCTGCTGACATTGGTACAAGCTGCTCCACAGGCAGAGGTTTTAAGCATAAATTGTGGCTAAAATAGCTGCCTTTTTAAAATAAATGTCAGTAAATACAGTTTTCTGCTTTGCTATGACAAGTGGATTCTGTTTCTCTACATATACAAGTACATAAGAACAATATCCTGGATGAAGTCCTTCAGATAGGTTTTTGTTTTCAGGCTGCCATTTTGATTCAGCAAACAGAAATCAGAATCTGAGCCAAGGCACAGTGTCCAAAATACCTTCCTGAGACTTTTTACAATTACACACAGGATGTAAATAATTGTATTTTTAATTGAGATGTACTATTGGACATCTGGAGGTTTTTTATTAATTTCTAGATTGCAGAGATAAATCCCACTAGTGTGCAAGCAGAGCAGTGTAGAGGAGGAAAAACTTCAACCCAGGCTGCCATACCAACCTCACATTTGCTGCAAATAAGGATGATAGCCCACAGGAAAAAAGATCTGATAGCATTTTTCATTAATTATGCACTGACTTCTTAAAATTATTCAGAGCAGGCTGGACAAGGCTTGATGGATTTCAAAGGCCATCCTGTGTGTACGTACTAAATAGCCCACATTTATTAAAATCCAGCTTTTGGCTATGCAGAGTCCACATTGCCACTCCAATAATTTTCCATAAATTGAAGGCCTTGCAAGTGTAGATTAATTGAGGCCATGAAACAGCAGCTAGAGTAAAGAAATTAAATATTCCCTTTCATAGTTTCTTCTCTTGAACTTTCCAATTTCACAGTGGTGGGCAATTCCCAAAAATCAGGCAGCAGGGGAATAAAAGCTAAAACAGCATTTATTAAATCCAATGGTAGAATTGGTAAATGGTTGCACATGGACTTTGCTTTTTATCATGGCATCACTTTGAAACAATCAAATTAAAAAAAATTTCAGTGTTGTGGTTAGGCCCTCTGTTTATGAAAATAGTCAAGAATAATTTATTGTCAACCCTATTGCTAAACCACAGATGATTTGGGAATAACTTTAAGACAACCTGTTTATTGTGTTAAAAAAAAAGAAAAAAAAATCCAAAACCAAACAAAACCATTACACTATAAAAGTCCAAAATCTCACAAAAATCCAAACAAACAAAAAGAATAAATCCAGCAAGGCTGGATGCTTTACCTATACATGCAGTATTTAATGGATGATTACAAATCCTGAATGTCGGAGGATTCCTCCGGGACCAAAGCTGCCAGGAGCCATGGCTGTGGCCTGCCTTGGACTCCCAGGCCTGCTTCTTAACCATCCTCAAGACATTGCATTTCCAGGCTTTCCATGCTATGGAAAAGGGCTGATATTCACAGTCACGTGTTGCCAGAAGTGGGATTCCACCTCCTAAAATTGCAAAAACATCAGAGGATTGCTTCAGCACCAAATCTGCCAGGACTGATGGCTCTGGCTGGCCTTGGATTCCCAGGAAATGCCTCTAAACTGCTCACAGTAAATTGTATATCTGGCTTTTCCTGCCTACGGAAAAGTGCTGATATTGGTTGTCAGGCACACGTGGCTCTAAGTGGGATTCTGTCTCCAAAAATTTCCATCACGGAATGCCTCCCAGACCAACAGCTCTGGCTGGCCTTGGGCTCCTAGGGACCACCCAGAAACTTCCCTCAAGGCATTGAGTTGCAGGGTTTAAAGCCTCTCCTCCTCCAAGGCCAGCCAGGGTTGTCAGTTCTGGTTAGACCAGGCTGCTCAGGGCCCCACCCAAGCTAGCCTTGAACACTTCCAGGGATGGGACATACCTGACTTCTCTGGGCAACAATAGGAAGAAGATGCCTGAGTGACTGGCAAAGCAAGCTCAGCAAAGCTGCAAACACAAGCTCCAGTAACATTAATTCATTCTTCAGCTTCTTAATCATAAACCTTTATGTTTCATCGTCGACCCATAATTGTACTCCCCTCCCTGACTTCCATAACTGCCCTTCCTCCACTCAGACCAGGCTATATCTGATGTGGGGCACTTCCATGGAATTTGAGCTGCTCAGGGAATGGAGCATCTTTCCTATACATCAGTGTCCTCATGATGCCTGTGCTCAATGAACCCACTGCTATATGTGGCCTCATTTCAGATAATGCATGGAATAAATACCTATTTAATTATGAAAAAATGTCCTTTTATAAATGCATACTTCCATAAAATATAAAGTAACTTGGAAGCTTAAACCAAACCACAGCAAAACAGTCAGACAGTTTATGTAGAAAACTAAAAATGCCTACACACATTTGGACAGAATATTCTTGTATTGCTGTCAAATTTTAGGGATATCATCTCAGTGGATTTTTCTTTCCTCTACTGTTTTCATCTGCCAGGAACTCCTGCTGAGGGCAACGAGCTAGCCAGTGGTTTTAGCAGAGGAAAGCTACTCCTTTCTGAGGAGCTCTGCTCAGCTGCTACAAAATCTGATGGATGAAAACACTCTTTCCACATCCATACATTTCCTGACAATTTCAGACATTTTTATGACCTCCCTGTGCAGTGAAACACTGCAGTCTCATTCCAGCTCTGCATCAAGTAACAGGCAAGGAAGAAACAAATAAAAAGTCTTACCTTCTGGTACTGCTGATAGTACCTTTGGGGGTTTTTAGCTGTTAAAACACTTTCCTTGCTAGCACTGCATAGAAGCCATGATTGTAAGATTTAATGAGACTGACTTAATGAGTCTTCTATTTGTTTTCCAGGAACTGGCAGATTTTCCTTGCTATGCCTCAACTCACTAAAAGGGGTAAAAGCAGGGATCTAAGACCTTCCTCC